AGAATGTATTGCCTCAAGCCCCGTTCACACTGCCAGCGACACACAGCGACAAAGCGACATGCTCCCATTCATTTTCAATGGAGAGCTGGCGACTTCCGGCGACACGAGCGACAGTGACCGTTGGCGACAGAATGTGGGCGTGTCAAGCGACAAACGTTAAGAATTGTTTAACTTTATGCAAATGAACAGCGAATTTCGCGAGCGACAACCAATAGGAGTGAAGAGTCTGTCAGTGGCGCTCACACGTCACCGTCTCGAGTGCAGGCTAGACAGGACAGATTTCCTGAGCGATTTCACTGTTTTATATGATTTTACTGTAACCACATGCATGGATATAAAAAATTACGGGTAGAAAAGAAACCGTTGGCTGTCTAAGTGAGTTTGATTGTTGATGGTTCGAGTTGTTAATTACATGATGCAGTGAGCAGTTTAGCACCGGTTAATGATTTAATGCACGCGCACTGCTGTAGTTTATAACACAACACTCTCCAACAGCAGAATGGTACTTTTATTTCTTTTAAGTCTAATTCCTAGTCATAATAGAATTATATCTTAGTTTTACCGGCAATATACAGTTTGTAATTGCATTTTATATGTCCAGATATGTCCAGACGTGCAGTCTACCAATAACGTGAATTAACATTATCCAGTGAATTATTCTTCACTCTTGAGCCTATTAAACAGCTTATAAACCTACTAAAACTGAAGTTTAAAATGAAGTTGATATGAATCCTTTCCTTTATTTATTTTCTCCATTTGAAAATATTAGACCTACTACATTTATTTTCGCTCTCTGTTGTCTATATGCTCATCATCTCATGAAGTCGGAGTCACATAAAATAATCCGTCAAGTCCTCTCCCAATAAAGACGCAACTTTGCATGAGTTAAATAATACAGCCATGAATGAGCGCATGTTGGAAATAAAAACGCTAAATTTAATTCTATGTCTGTTGTCTATGCTCATCATTAGACTCGTGAAGCCGCTTTCATATTGCTGTTCACTCACCGGGGGTATCGGTATCGGTTATAAAATATCAATATCGGTCGATCACTATTTATAATGTTACAAAATATTCCTATTTCAAATAAACGCTGTTCTTTTGAACTTTCTGTTCATCAAAGAATCCTGACAAATAAAATGTATCAGTTTCAACATTGTATCAACGTTGATAATAATCAGAAATGTTTGTTGAGCAGAATATTATACTGATTTCTGAAGATCATGTGACACTGAAGACTGGAGTAATGATGCTGGAAATACAGCTGCACATCACAGAAATAAATGACAGTTTAACACATATTCACATAGAAAACAGCTGTTTTACATTGCAATAATATTTCACTATTTTTACTGTATTTTTAATCAAATAAATGCAGCTTTGGTGAGCAGGAGAGACTCTTTCAAAAACATTTTAAAATATTGTTCATTGCCTGAGATGTGTGAATACCAGCTGTAAACGGGCTTCTATTTTAGATCAGAAATTAGTTTCATCTTCAATTTTTTAACGGGTTTTTCTTTGCCAACCTTACCTGTAATAGACGATCTCTGTCCCGAAGAAGGAAAGCGCTTCACGCAATGCCATCGGTGCGCTTTCAGAGACCATGGTATCAGATTTCCTCCTTTAACTTCCTTCTGCTTTGTAATTATAAAGCGTTTCTCAGCGTCCGTCTGAGTTTAGAGCATGTGCACGAGTGCTGCTCGTCGTTCTGCTCGTATAAGTTTGGTCTGTAATGTATTTCTTATTTTACAGTAACTCCATCTCCAAAGCTCGAGCTCCTCTCCTGCGCTGAAAAGACCAACATCCCTGCACTGATATCACTCGAGTCTTACTTTAAGTGATCTACTATTAACCATATTCAAACTGTGTTTATTGAGAAATCGGCAGATGATGTTAAGCATTGTTATTTGATCGAGAGTTTATTTTAAATCCGAGCTTTAAGCATCTGTGAAGTTTGACTTTTTATGCCATTGTAAATGTCAGAATCATGTCAGAAGCTGCCTTTGCCATTATGCATTATGCTACTAGACCTGTAATATTGTTTTTGGTTTTTTAAATACTGTAGCTAGTACTTTATTAATAATACTACACGCGAATGTGAATCATACTGTGCTAATCGTGACTGAACGCTGTATATAGGCTGGAGTTTGATTAGACTAAAAGCACTGTTTTTTTTTTACTGTAAATAATGCAAATTTAAATCATGATTATTTCACACATAATAGGAAATTATTTGAGTCATATCTCTTTTAATAAATCCTTTCTGCTATTGCAAATGTGGTTGTGGACCTCATTATACATATGTTTCCATATGTTTATTCAGATTTTAGCCTTTCTCTTAACAGCACTTGCTTTTGGACCCACTAGTAATTTCTATATAAATATGAGGGTTATTAAAGTTAACTTTAATTGTTACTTAAAATAAATGTTGACTGCAATAAAATATCAAAACTAGTTGCCGAGGCAACACATCTTTTTCATTTTTTTTTT